TTGCAACATCGCTTATTAGCAACTGGCAGTTCCCTAATCGTTTATGCTGACCCGGAAGATAATATCCTAGGAATAGGGCTCAGTGCTGATCAAAGAGAGTTCAATCCATCATTATGGAAAGGCCAAAATATCTATGGTTTAGCTCTCATGGATGTACGAAATTATCTGAGAAAGCTGGAAGGAAGAAAATCTTGAAATGAAAGATGGTCTTTGCGTTCAGAAAGACAAAAAACGGAAAATTGACGCAGTTGATGAATTAACTGCTTCCCCATGTTTTCATGTAATCTATATAAACATGAATGGCTGATTAAAAAAATTGATTTTCTCGATAAAATATGTCTAATTTGATTTTCAAACACCCTTTCACGTGTATGGTTGCAGGACCAACATCCAGTGGTAAAACTGTCTTAGTTGATTAATAATAGCTAATAGACGTGCATTGATACCAGGATTAAAAATTAACTCTAAAGTATTATGGTGTTATGGTCAATGGCAGCGAAGATTTTCTAAGCAAACTGATATAACATATCACGAAGGAATGATAGAAGATCCTTCACAATACGATCTCATCAGTATGGATGATCTCATGAATGAAGCTTCAGCTGATACTAGACTTTTAAATTTGTTTACTGAAGGAAATCATCACCTCAATATATCAGGTATATTCATTCGAACAGTTACAGTAGCTCTATTTCGTTAGATTCGTTCTCACGGAGCAAATCTGACGAAAGATAAAGAGGGTAGTATGCTGATAAAGAGGGTAGTATCAACTCTAACTACGTCTACGACAATATTGATCGGGTAATCAAACGCCGAAGATTGTCGTAGACGTAGTTGTTTAAAATTATTTATAATGATAATAATTTGATTAAAAACAAAAATTACTTTGTTTCCTTTTCTTTCTCTTCGTCTTTCTTTTCTTTCTCTTCGTCTTTCTTTTCTTTCTCTTCGTCTTTCTTTTCTTTCTCTTCGTCTTTCTTTTCTTTCTCTTCGTCTTTCTTTTTTTCGCTTCGTCTTTCTTTGCCTTCTTCATCTTTGCCTTCTTCATCTTCTTCACCTTTGTCTTTTTGATCTTAACCTCCTTCATCTTCGCCTTCTTCGTCTTTGCCTTCTTCATCTTCATCATTTACGAAAAGGTAAAGTTGTGAGGCTTTTCGTCAAAAAAATTGCAAAAAGCATTTGACAAAAAGTTTTACAACTTTACCTTTTAGTTAGAAGGCAATAAAACAGAAATAAGTTTTTTCCTTCATTCCCTCTTTACCTTCTTTCGCTCCTCTCCTTCTTTTTCTTTCTCTTCTTTTTCCTTTCTATTTCCCTAAAATGCGGTGTGATATACTGGCTGAAACTGAGGCTCCTCCTCTTCCAGCCTGTATATCATACCTACTACTCACATTTTGACCGATATTTGAAGCACTCATCCTTGTTTGTGTTGCCATTGAATGAGCTGTTGATCGCACAATTCTTTTTTGAGCTGGTGTTACATGATTTACAGCGTTAGTTGATGATGTAGTACCATTAAATGCTCCAATTTTTGAAGATTAATTACATTGAATTACTTTCTCCTCTTTTTTCCTCTTTCTTCTCTTTCTCAAGCAGCCATCTCTGGAACAGTGTGCTAGCACAGTGTGCAAGAGTGGGCTGCTTATAGTCTGATGATGGATCATCCTTGGCTGTATTCTTTATTTCGATTGACTGATTTTTGAATGATTAAAGTTGACTCCGAAGAGTGTTCACCACTGGATGACCATATATTGTTATCTAATTTACCACGAACTTTACAGCTCTTATCTTCACACAAGTCCAATATGAGACATCTTTATAAGTTGACTTACTTCTATACAAAAATTTATTTTCACAATTAAAGAATGGTCTTTACCAGACTCAATGAAAGAGAAGTTCATATTTGGATGTATTATTTGTGAACGAAATTGCTTATTTTACGAAATTTAAACTGATTAGAGTTGTCTTAAAGGCTGGCTAGAAGTAAGGTGACAATGTTTACAAGTGAATAACTTAATTGTTAATATCACGAAATTTATGAAATTGGTCAGTGGGAGAAGAGATGTTGAGCTACATAAAAATAAAGAAATCACAGAATTTGGACCTTCACGCGCAATTTTAGGCAACTTCTGTTTGAGGCCTGACATAAGAGCTTTGCCAGAGTTTCTGAGATTTTATATGAAATATTACGCCAAATTTTGGCAAAATTACAGAGTTTCCCAGGTATATTTTTTCGTTTAGAATACAAAACGTTCAGCCTTACATAAAGCCCAAAATTTTTCAATCGGGCCACACTGAGGGAGATTTTGAGGGTTCGTTTTTTTGTCTACGAAATTGATCTTTTTTGATTCAAGAAACTTGATCACGTCTTTTTGATAGTGTGACGTGGCCAAATCAGGCCAAAACAAAACAAAGTAAACTTATAAAGTTTGTCACCTTACTTTTATGCCAGCCTTTATTTAAGCCTATTATATCTGGTCGTTTTAAATTTGACTTTTTTGACTCTTTGGATATTTTGAATTTGGTTATTTTGAGTGCCGCGCGTCTTTTTGAGTTCATGTGAACGAATGCTCTTAAATGACTCCGAAACTTTGTAAAACTTTGTCCTTCAATTAGACGTGAACAAGTATTAGTTCTAACTAAATACTATCTACCTAGCACGTCTAATTTGTGAGATATTGGATAAAGCTTGAAGTGAATGCGACTGAAAATCCATATATCTTTGCAATATTTTATAGATTTCATTGTGAATTCGTCGATATATTACGTATACCACGCATTACGTATTATTTTATTATGTTGATATGAAAGGAGTCTTGAGTCCTTTTTCGCTTTAAGAAAGCGGAGCGGTGAAACCATAGATTGAGGAAACTTTACATGGACAAAGCAAGAGGATGATTTTACCATTACAATGACCAATCACTTTCAGGTCACTCTAAACTCTCAGAGGATTTCTAAATGTGTATCAATTTCATTTTTTCTTGTCTCCATCAAACTGTATATTGAAAGTTAACCTTGTTCACTGTTAAATTATTATTTGCTTTATTTACTAGACTATGAATAGCAGACACAATGCTTTTCACAGCTTTACTAGCTTATCGTTTCTTAAATTCAATCAAGTGTGAACATGATCAAATTCACTTAGCTTTTTTTCACAAACTCTGAATCTATTATTAATAAGATGATGCTATCAAGCCATGAATTTATTGAATTATCTGATTCAATATTTTGCCTCATATTTTCTTGATAATGCCTATCAAATGCTTTGATACAACAAACTCAATCTCATTATTTTTCCATCTAACGGCTCTGGTAAATATTATTACACACCATTTTTGATTTAAACAAGTGTAATCATTGATCCAATTCAATTGTCACTCAAGAAACTGTTAATTTTTACTTTGACGAATAAAGCAACCAAAAAAGTCTAATCTCAACTTCAATTATAATTGGAAATAATTCGAGCCTCGAAAGTTTTACACATTTCATGTTTAAACCAAATAAATTATCAATAAACTGTAACCTTAAATTGCGTGATCACTGAAGAGCAATAAATTTCAAACCAATCTAAATAAATTATCTCATTCTAACACTAATTGGTTCATTTTGGGCCAATAATTTCATCATATTATACCTTTAAACTTAGAATTAATCACTGATAGAATGATTGATAAAATTCATCAATCGGCTTCACGATCATACTGATTCGATCAGCTAATATTCCTCCGACAAAAAACATAAGCCAAAATTTTGACAGCTAGCAATTGAGCCTCTTTATAGTCCTTTATAAAGATGATACAGGTTGAAGGAATCAACAGAATAATTGTTCAATGTTTTGATTCGTTCGTTGGTTCAACTGTTTGCATGATGTTGGTGTGATTTATTGATGTAAAAGTTGACTATTTTTACTGATAAGATTTTTGACCAACTCCAAAAGGTTTCAGTCTCATGAATAGATCAACCATCAATTGCTTTGCCAAAACTAACCAGCTTCATTTGTTCCCAATTCCTGGCCCATCATTGATGGAATCTTCAATGGCAAGGCAACTCTTTTTAACCTTTCAACATTTTTCAATATATGCCTCATGAATACATGATTTACATGATGCACTTGTGCTCATCTTTAACTAAAAGGTTAAAAAGGTTTCTAATTATAAAGATGAAAACAAAAAATGGAGCTCTTGAACAGGCTAAGACAATCAAAATGATTGGTAAGGTTGAAAAGAGTAACATAGACAAATAAAAACATTATATGCTATCTGATATATTACATAAAACATTATCCTTTTTTTCATGTGAATACATTGAAAGGCTGGGAGTGAGATGTAAAAAATAGTTGAAGAGCTTCAATGGCTCTTCAATAATTAGTCTTGATTAGTCTATGTTATTAAACTAGCCAGAAAAAAAGCTAAGGGAAAGCTTTAACTTTTCCTCTCTAACAATTTTACTCATTTTCATGAAGATGGGTAAAGTTGAGTAAAATTCTGGTCTCTTAGCAACTTGTTGTATTGAAACAGAATCAGTAAATGAGAAAGTATTCCGTACAACATTGGTGAGGTGAAAGTGAGAATTGGAAAAGGTAAATATTAAACTGGGAATGCGCATTTAACTTACCATAGCAATTCAGTTTGGATATTTTTGCCTCTCAACTTCATCTCATGATTCAACATTGAACAGTGAACATCCAGATAAATTATTAACCAGGTAAAACTCAGCTAAAAGACGATGAGTGAAACAAAAGCAGCAACATAACAATTTGCAACAGTACCAACCATTGAAAACCGACACTAGACCAATCCTTCAAATTACATGTTTTGCAAAAGATGGACCAAAACCATAATCAAGTGCGGATTTATACTCAAAGATTATCTCATGTTAAATTGACAATGTGAAAAAAGTTGAGCAAATTAAATTGAAGTTAAATTGAAACTAAAAGTGAAAACCAGAAAACCGTTAAAAACCAACAATTTAGCTTTTTTTGCTACTTTTGCCATCTCGTGTCCGTTTAAGGGGTTATATCCTTATCAGTATCTCTTGTAACCTGTGTAACTTTACCCGTTAGTCTGATGATCTCATATGATTGCATTTGTTGATCCATCTTGTTTTTCAACCAATAATGGGTGCTCTATCTAAATCCAAGATTCATCCAACATCGATACACTTGCAGGTCGAGGATAATTACAACAATCATAATTCATCTACACAAACAGTTAATCATCCAATCGCCAAGAGTAAAGTATTTTTCAAAGTAAATGGATGGACTCAACCTTTCCATGCACTTCAACTTCTTGCTTTCTTTTTCTTTTTCTTCTTTACTGGTAAGTAATTATTCCTCTTATTTTCATGACCATAATTTAGCTAAATCATTAAATAGTCATGAAGCAACCTCCTAGATTACCCAGAATTCAATTTAACAGTCTAACAGTGGTAAAACAGAGAACCAAACGAACAATGTTGATACCGTTCTACACACAGTTGAAGATTGAAATTTTCAGTCTTCCATTGTAATGCATGGAGACATGTTTCTGTTTACTTGATTATAATTGATAAATGTTAAATTTTAATGTTAGCCACTTGAGAAGTAATTAATGTAATTGCCCAGTTTGCTTGAGCCACTTGTCTTTCATAATTTAATCATGCAAATCACTTGCCAACCTTGACATTTTGCTGTCTCTCGCCAAAAAGTTAACCGAGTTTCCTTTCAATAATTGCTGCTTCACTGACTTTGTATTACTATATTTAATAGACTGATTGCTTGAAATATCTGTTTGATGTCAAACCAAATTCATTTACCTAGACCGAGCATTGAACCACAAATCTGTGTGAAAACACAGATATTAGATACAATTTTTAATATTAGATTTACTCTCTTTGTGTTTCTGGTCAAAACAATTACAAATCCCAACTACAATACAATACTAATCTTTTGATATTTTTCCTTCAATTCTAATTGTTTTTATTTTTCTCATTTCCAACAGGAATCTGTTTCTTTATCATATTTCCATTGCTTCCAACAAGTCACCTTCGTAACACAATTTACTCGATAGCTGGCCTTTTATTTGCAAGTCATCTAATTTTTTACCTGATTAACATTACAATCAATCCTGCTGATCCTGCTGTGATAGATAAATATAGAAGAGACAAAAATACAAAAACAAATGAACAAGCAAACCAAAAAGGTCCAGCAACATTTGACCGGTCCAAGCACAATCATGTCATTGAGAATCAATTTTGCTACATTTGCGAAGTAACCGTTGGATCAAGATCGAAACACTGTTCAGTCTGTAATAAATGTGTCTCTGATTTTGACCATCACTGTAAATGGCTCAATAACTGTGTTGGTGGAGCTAATTACAGGTAAATGCTATTAACTATTCAGACAAATGTGTTGACAAAAACCAGCAACATTAACATCAAACCTGAAAAACCCATTTTTGATGTCAATATTGTTATACTTTAATCCATTGTAGTCAGATTTTTTTCGACCAACAACAAGTCCATTCAATTTGTTCAATTCAACATTACCATGTCATTAAAAGACAATCAACTTTCACTATTGTTGCCGTCTGTTAATGTGTTCACTGTCACAATACCGTTATAGTGATGATGCTTACCTGCTAGAGGGAACAAAAAAATCTGACTACAAACCTTGACCTGGAAAAAAAGTATAATAGTAATATCAATGTTTTGCTCATTTATTTATGATAATAGTTTTCATTTATTGTCAATAATTCATGATCAAAAATCTATCAACTGATCAATAATGTTTGTCTGTAAATAGTTAACTGAAAACATCATTTTCCCATTCATTTGTTCAATATTTTAACTCATTTTTCTCTCCATTCCTTTCTTCCATCTACTCATCATCGGCCAATATTTACACTCAAACGATGACAATCCAGACTGTTTCTTGCCTGTGTTACAATTGCAATGCTTGGAGCCATCAGCATCTTTGGGTTAACGATAGTATTCACAATTGCCTATTTCAACAAATCAAGCTGGTTTTACGGTGAGCAAAGATATTCATTTCAATATTCAAGACTTGAAACTGGGAATAAATGCTGAAGATTGACTTATTATCCATTCGACTCTATCATTGCTCAATATTAGTATCATTACCAGAATCATCAGATTATAGATTTATTAATAGCTGAAAGAAATGAAAAGGATATTAAATTGTTAATTGGGTACAAAATTTGCCTTGAAAATGTTTCATTTTTCCTGCAATTTATTATTCAATTGATTTCCAATTTTATCCAATGTTTACCATCTTCACCTGACCTTAGCCTTTACCGATTGTTAGCAATAACAGTATTGATTAACCTTGAATAATGTAAATCATGCAAACCTCTGAATGTTAACTATTATTAACAATCATTAACAATGGCTACTATTTTTTGCGTGATTGACAAACATTCTTAACAATTCTTGAGAATCCCTTTTCTGTCAAGTCACACAGACGCAATTATGTTACCTTTTCCAGGAAGAGAAGAGCAATTTTAATCAACTGATTGAGAGTGATTAATTAGTGTAAAAGGTTAAAGCCAAGAAAAGGGTAAATTAGGAAATTGTTAACAATCATGAAAATTAATTACAAATGATGATGTCAACATAATAATGGAAACCATTTTCTGGTTCAACTTTGCCTAAGGATAAAGCTGTTTATGCCTACTTGGTAGACAAAAACAGCTAAACAAGAAAACCCAAATTGTTCAATTATCCTAATCATAATTATTGATTTTACTTATGCAAACCTTGTTAAGTTGATTGAAGACTAAATTTCATTAAACTTCAACTCTCAAAACTGTTCAACAGTCAGTCTCACTTGTCAAGTTTAAGAAAATTATTAATAGAATCAAAAGGCTTAATTAAATGTTCAAGTTTACTGAATGGTAATTTAGTGAATAGATTAGCAAAATTAAGTCTCAAATCCTTTAATCTACTCTTGAACTTACATTGTCCAAATTGATGGTAGCTGTAACCAGGTAACAACACTGAGAATCGAGTTGACAAAAGCTGAGTTAATTGAGATAATTCATTTGCTTCTGTAAACATCAATTTCTGTATCTCATTGAATAAACATATTTAAAGCCTTTATTTATCTTACCAATTGCAGCAAACTCAGGGTAAAAGCTTTACCATGTTACACAGGCGATGAACAAAAAAAAACATAACAAATTGATAAATTGAGTGAAATGTTTAGGTAAATATACAAGTGATAATCTTGAATTGAACTTTTGTTTTCTGTTTCAACAGTTTAAAATGTTTCAATACAATTTAATGTAATCATTGTTATTGGCAAAAAAGTAATTCTTTCATTGTGGTTAGATTAAGGAAGTAAAATGATTTAAAATAATGAATTGAAATGAATGTTATTTTAATGATAATGAGCTGAATGAAAGTGAATTTGAAAGAAAAGGTTTTTTTCTTGGAATGATTGAATTGAATGAAATGAATTGATTGAAATGCTTTCCAATTTTTGCAATTTTCATCTTTTCTTAAACAAATTGTTTATATTTTCATCTCACGTTTAATCGTTGTCAAGACAAGGAGGATGTCAAAAGTTGCCTATTTTCAGAACACTTCAGGGCGTATTTTTTCTAATGTATTTTTTTATGCTGATTTTGAAAATCTAAATCATTTTTTGATCCGAGGTACCGTTCGTAAGATATTCACGAAAAAAACAAAGAAAATTCATGGTAGAGAAATAATGAAACTTGATGACGAAAAAGCAGAATTTCATGATGAAAGATTGTTTATATACTAAAAAAGCAATGCTGATTCCATATATTAACTTATTTTTAATCTAAAAGTACGCAAAACTAGTCAATTATTGGAAAAACTGTATTAGGTGTAGTTTGGACTTTTTATGTTGATCTTGTAGATCGCGGCGCACGATGAAACTTCATCAGGGTATATAATAAGCAATGCTGATTTCATATTTGAAATCTGTTTGTACCTTAGAGGGCGCAAAATAAGCCAATTATTGGAAAAACTGTATTAGGTGTAGTTTGGACTTTTTTAGTTCATCTTGTAGATCGCGGCGCACCATGAAACTTCATCAGGGTATATAATAAACAATGGTGATTTCATATTTGAAATTAGTTTGAATCTAAAATGGGGCAAAACTAGTCATTTATTGGAAAAACTGTATTAGTTGTAGTTAAGACTTATTTTGCGCTAACAAAATCGAAAAATTATTTCGGATATACGACCATCATTGCTTATTATGTATATAATTGAAATTTCATAAAGAGCAGAGATTTAAACAAGGGAAGCTTAACAGCCAAACCTGCGTTTCAAGGTGATTCTAATAATTGGCTTATTTTGCGCCATCTAAGGTTCAAACTGATTTCAAATATGAAATCAACATTGTTTATTATATACCCTGATGAAGTTTCATGGTGCGCCGCGATCTACAAGATGAACTAAAAAAGTCCAAACTACACCTAATACAGTTTTTCCAATAATTGGCTTATTTTGCGCCCTCTAAGGTTCAAACTGATTTCGGATATGAAATCAGCATTGCTTATTATATACCCTGATGAAGTTTCATGGTGCGCCGCGATCTACAAGATGAACTAAAAAAGTCCAAACTACACCTAATACAGTTTTTCCAATAATTGGCTTATTTTGCGCCCTCTAAGGTTCAAACTGATTTCGGATATGAAATCAGCATTGCTTATTATATACCCTGATGAAGTTTCATCGTGCGCCGCGATCTACAAGATCAACATAAAAAGTCCAAACTACACCTAATACAGTTTTTCCAATAATTGACTAGTTTTGCGTACTTTTAGATTAAAAATAAGTTAATATATGGAATCAGCATTGCTTTTTTAGTATATAAACAATCTTTCATCATGAAATTCTGCTTTTTCGTCATCAAGTTTCATTATTTCTCTACCATGAATTTTCTTTGTTTTTTTCGTGAATATCTTACGAACGGTACCTCGGATCAAAAAATGATTTAGATTTTCAAAAGCAGCATAAAAAAATACATCAGAAAAATTTATAAAAAATTGATTTGAGTTCAGGCAATTTTCCCTATTGAATTTGACATCCTCCTTTACTAAGTGAGAGGAAAAGTAAAGTTCAATATCTTTACCAACGTTTTCTCCATTTTACTCTGTACCAATTTGAGATAAAATTCAGACAGTTTTAGCCTTAAGCTGATTCAAAATCATTTTGTCCAACAAGACTGGATAATCTGAAGTGGTCAAAATTGCATCTGAAAAGTCAATGGAAAAACATTGAAATATATTTCAATTTTTTACTTTTTCTGTGTTAAGATAGTAAAATATTTGATAACAATATAATGCAACATGATAAACAACTTGAAATGCCCATTGAAAGATAAATCTGGTTATTATACAAACAATGGATAGAGTATTATGAAAATACACGCTTCTGGCTCATTGGTATTATTTGAAGCAGATCAAGCATAACTAAAATTATTGATCGAGACAGAGAAAATATCAAATCTAAATGAAAATAAACAGCTAGTTCAGACGATCGCTAGAAACAAAGCTGATGAATTTGAATAAACTGTTAAATGTTTAAATTAATGAAATGCATAAGCAAATCGAGGCCAAGAATCGTTGATAAGATGAAAAAAATTCGTTCACCCGTGCGCATCAAGCATTTTTAGGAGAAAATCAGTTTCAAATCTCTAACTATTAAGGTCACTCGAAACAACACGACTAACTGAAAATCGAAGTGATCTTTTGTAAGAAAATGAAAATTTTATTTCACAAAATAAGTGCATTTTCTGGTTGCTCATTAAAAGTTACAAGATCACCATGACCTTATACTGTATGAGCATAAATTGAGATTGGAAATCGAGCTCCGTTGACAAGGCTGATAGTGAAGATATATTGTGATCCAAACTCTGAAGCATCTGTGGTGATTTAGGGTATGGTGAAGGGTTGAATTTTCGTTGTCTAAGGACACCACAAACCGCATTAATGGTAAACTCGAAACCACAGGAACCGGAAAGGATATAATCATCAGGATGTCCATAGTCTTTGCAAGTAAGATCTGATTGCCCAAATGCATACTTCTTGTCCATATCAGCTGACCCTCCGGCCCATCCTCGGTTGTAGCATTTTACGGTTTCACCGCGGCATCGATGCATCCGCCGCTATCGTCAGACCTTTGTGCATTTACCTTTCTGTAAAGTAAGCACTTACAAATCCTTTAGTTCTATTGGATCTGATTTTGAAAAAACTTGTTCAATTAAAAACAAGACGAAAAAAGATAATGAAAGTTTCATCTTGACTACTGACGAAAATCGTTCGTGAGTTATTCAAAACGAAAAAAACGTTGAGTACAATAGTCTAAAAATATTATGAGGATACTTCAGTAAAGATGACCACAACGAGGGCTCTCTTGGTAATATCTCATTGCTAGTTTGTGAAACACCTTCTTAAGCCCTTTAAAAGGCCTTAAAAACCTTGACATTGTATTCTCTTGACGCTTGACCCTTAGAATAAACCCGTTTTGACCTTTAGTTTATGTTTTATTGTTTTAGTAAATAAACCGGTTTTTGCCCTTAACATTGGCGACACGGCAGGATGTTAAGGGCAAATCGAGGTCTCTCTTAGAAATCTCTTGAAAATGAAATGGATTTTATGAAAATCAATCACAAAAATAGACACATTGGACAAAATTATCAAACAAAGGAGTTTTTTTATTTTAATCAAGGAATACAAAGATTTCTACAGAACGATGGAGTCTTTATAGGTCCGTAGCCTTCTTTTTTCGACCCAGAGTACCTAATTTATTTCCAATCCTGGAATCTACATCCGGGACGCACTCAGTTTTACCACGAGCGATACAGTCCTTTTCATGTCGGTACTGATTTTTCTTGGCCGAGTATTGCCTACTACACCATCGACACCGGTATGGACAAGGTTTGCTATCAGGCCAACTGGCAGGATCCTCACAATCGATAAGTTTTTCCAGTCTTTATTTCCTTGGGGTAAATCATGTGGCAATTTTTACACT